GCTCTGGATATTATACTGTCCTTGACAGTTTTCTGGTTTAAACAAAAAAATATTCATAACATTTTATTTGAATGGTAATATTATTTCAAGAAAGCATGCAGAACCGGAAAAACATACATGCTGATTCTCAGGTTTCTGAATCTTGCGAGTATTTGACGAAGCGCATTCGCGATGAATCGGATCCGTAAAAGCTAAAAGTGTGATTACTCGGCACAATGAGCATAATATACAATGAGTGGAAACTTGCAAAGATTTGCTCATTTTGGTATTGTTCCCTGCCATTTTTTTACGTCGTCCGGCTAAATGGTTTCGTTGCATATTAAGAAAACGCATTGCTCGCTGCCAAAATCCCTTGCTTCAGCCGAGTCGGGTGCGAAATTGGCCGTATTGAGGTCTTTAATTCTTCAATACATATTTGGTTTTGGGTTTCCGAAGTATGGTACGCTGAAAGCATACAGACTATGAGGCATATGCTTATTGGTAATGCATATCTATTAGACAGAAAACGTAGCTACAGTACAGAATATGAACCAGTCGCCGAGTGAGGTGCGGTTATTTATGTATTTATTAGGATAATGAGGATAAGGATTTACATATTTATCCCGGGGGAAGGAAAGTGATAAGACGACTTATCCATATGGCGAACCACGGGCCTCTCGTCCGGTTACCCATTCCAAGTCGGGTATGGGATTAGATATTTTGTTTGTATTCGGAAGCATGGACTTAGTGGTGGAGGAAGCCGTACCGGTAACTGACCAGCGGTTACGTGAATCACCCAACGGCGACGAGGAGTCCAGCAATCCTCTTGCACATAAACGCATGCCCTGCATGGGATTCGAACCTGCGGACCCATGCAGAGTAATTAGAGGTGCGGTGGCGAGCGTATTCCTAACGTTTAGCCCGTTGAGCCACACCGCCGCGCATGGGATTTACATATTTAATCCAATGGAGAGGAAAGCCGAGAAGAATGCCTAAATATATGGCAAACCACGGCCTCTCTCAATCATAGCTCTGTGCTCCATATGAATCACATAGCTCTGCGAGCTATTCGTTTACTTATTAAAAATACTAATTTTAACTATTTCTCTGGGATATCTTGCCATTGAAAACAAAAGCCAGAAATTGGAAGAATAGCAGAGAATGAAATGTGTGTATTATGTAATGGAGAACCTGAGTTTGTTTCACATATTTTCATGTATTGTAAATTTACAAAAAATATTTATGAAGATTTTGTTTTAGATATATTAAAATTGATTAGAATACATTTTGTTATCAATATGATTCTTGCATATTATTTAATTTCAACGATCCTTTATATAGTCATGGGTATGGTTATTCCAACCGAATAACCAGTTACTGAGTTACCGTACCCAAGTTTACTAAATCAGTACCGCAAATTAAATGATGCTGCAAATGCAATCACTCTAGGCCTACCATTGCCTGATTTCCAGTACCGGTACCGTATGCATGCAATTATTGTGCTCTTCTTATGTTATTACAGTATTACTATATATGGTGAATCGTTGTAACTTTGTTCTATTACAGTATAAGTATAATAAGTATAAGTTTATTTCGACTCCATAATCAGCAAAACAATAAAAGGAATGCTAAAAATAAATAAATAAAAAACTGATTATGAAATCAGGAGAGCGAACAAAAACCTTAGATAAGGTTTAAAACGTACAGAACTGTATATAAGATGGAAGGTTTGCCAAGAAGATGTGGTACGTGTTCACTCACCTAAAATAATTGAAATATTTCACACACGCTCACACACACACAACCATATAGAAGTTATTAAGTAAAGGGAACATGGAAAATTACATACTGGTAGTTAATAAAAAAGAAATAAATAAAAATTACTTGCCACACCATATTAATAAATTTATCATGATTGCCACTGCAAATTGATCAATTTTATAAATGGGAGTGAACAGTAAAGATAAACTTTTATAAAAAATATATTGTCAAGATGGAGTCAAATGCCAAATGCCCAAGCAAAGTTGCCAGAAATTGGGTGCATGAAGAGGTGGCTAGACCACTTCATTGCCCAAACTAGAGCCTATTATTGCCAAATTGTAGTCCAGATTGCAATAAGTATTTAAATTATCAGTAACTTATAAGTATAGTAATTATAATTAATTAAGGTGGAAAGACAGGGTATAGGGAATATGTTGGTTGCTAAGGTTATAGGTTATAAGGTTTTTTTTTTTTTTCATTCTTAGATATTGACTTCTGCAAGGATAAAGGAATTAGGAATAAAGGAATTAGTATTGTTATTTCACAGGATCATTTCTTCATTTAATTATTGTGGCGTAATAGATTCAAGTTTATCGTGGATGAGACATCAGCCTGCGAATTTTGTTGTTGTAGACACCATTTATATTCAATAAACTAGCCATTGTATTGATCATCACAGAACGACCTGAAAAACAGAAAACAAATCTGCGAGTAGGATATTCAAGGGTTACATATTTGGAAACAGCACTACCCTACACTTTTGTTTAGAATTAATTATTATTTCGAGTAGATATTGTTTATTAGTTATGCTATCTATAAAACGCTAGTTCAAAGACCAGAGTTGAAATATGGTTGGGACACAGGGTGAATTCCTCGCAAACCATAGCAGAAACTCTCAAACCACACTGACCATTCGTATGTTGGCCTTCACATCAACTTCACAGCAGAATCTCAACCTAGGATAAAATTTTGTATACACACAAAACAAATCATAGAATACCACAACAAATTAAAATGAAGGGGAGAATCCAATATATCTCCCACTGGTCGCCTAATTACAATAATAGGTACAGGGCTAAACTATACGGTCTACAACCCTCATAAGGTATCACACCACCCATATAGAAACAAAGACCATGCATTGTGTAATGTCAAAAATCCAACGTTAAGCAAAAAGGGAACATGCGCATGCAGATGTCAGAGTGTGAAACAGCCATTTGAAAAATAAATAAATAAATAATTTGCTGTGCATGCTACAGAACCGACACACCAACAATAGATGTAGAACAGGTGGAGAGAGATTAACTGCCGGCTCAACAACAATCAGCAGCTGCAGGAGCAATAGCAATATTGTAGCTGTTAATATTTTCATGAAAATAAGTATGTGCAAGTGAAGAGTGTCCCCAACTTTCTATCATGGTCATTCATGAAGGTTCAATATTTTTTGTGTCCGAGCTATCAAAACGTTGTAGCTATTTCATACGAAAGAGTATATATATCAGTGTGGTTATGGGAAAATAAACTTTTAATATTTGGATACCAAGTACGACTTAACTTGTTTCTGAAATGATTTTTTGGATTTTAATGACTTCAAATTCAAGGGGAGAGAGTTCCATACTTAGGTCCATTATAGCATAGGCATGCTGGCTCACAATTTACTCATAAACGCTATAAATAAATTGGAATTACTTCTTCGATTGGAGGTGGTTTTGGTTAGTATGTCGTCAAAGCAGTTTGACAATGAGTTGTCATGAAAATCATAAACTAATGATAATACTTCAAATTTCATTATGTCTTCACCTTGAGTATATTTAGCGATTTATAGAAATGATTTACGCTTTCACGTTTACTTTTCCTAAAGACAATTCTTTAAAAAATTATTACAAATGCTTTGCAATTTCGAGACAAGTGTTTTATTACCATGGAGCCAGACTGAGCTACAATATCGGATATGACTTAGTAGTAGAGATTGAAAACATTGCTTAGTAAAGCTGATTTGATTAACGCACTGGGATACTTTAGCAGCAACTGCCAAGTTCCTTTTTGTTTTACCATAACATGCAACATTTGTGATTCCATGATAGATTTTCATCAAAAGATAACTCCTAGAAATTTTATTTCTTTCACTCTTTCAATTTCATTGTCATTGAGCAGTAGTGGTTTTGAACAACTCACACTTTTATGCTTGCCTTGGGTGGAATAATACAAATTTAGTTTTGTTAGCATTAAGAGATAATTTGTTTAACCAACATCCAGCTATGAATGTTGGTTAGTTCTTGGTTTGCAACTGTGAGTAGATCTTTCAAGGTTTTTCCCATGAAGAATCAAGTCAGTGTCATCAGCAAACATGATCGACTCAGAGGATTTCAGACACCTGGACATGTCATTAATGTAAGCTAGAAAAAAATAATGGGCCAAATAAAGATCCTTGTGGAACTCCGTGCTTCATGACACAAATATTTGTAGAGAATGAGTTGTCATATTGCAACAATTTGTTTCCTGTCTTGCAGTAGCTCCTGATCCAATTGAATGGGACGCCTCTAATTCCATAGTGATAGAGCTTACTTAAAAGGATGGGATGATCAATGGTGTCGAAAGCTTTTGAAATATCAAGAAATATTCCAATTGCATGTTGTTTGCTTTCAAGGCCTTGGTCAGTTTGGTGTACAAAAACATTAGCAGCCATAGCAGTGGAGTGATGCTTGCGGAAACCAAATTGATGAGAGTGGAAACATTGTTAGTTTCAAAGAAGTTTGACATTCTACTATACATATTTTCTCAAGAATCTTAGAAAATGATGGTAAAGACTAATAGGTCTATAATTTCCAAGATCTGAAACACTACCCTTTTTAAATAGAGGAAGAACTTTAGATGTCTTGAAGCTTTCAATGAATAACCCACTAGATAGTGAAAGATTAAATATATATGTCAGGATGTCAATGATATGTTCTGGAACGTGTTTCAATACTTTGAATGGAATACCATCAATTCCAAAACTTGACTTGGGCTTCATTTCGCGTATAATATTTTTTATTTCTAATGATGTAGTTGGCCTTAAAAACATGGATGAGGATTCTTGCTTTCCAAGATATGAAATGTAATTTTTGTCACAGCCAGCTGGTTGTGGCATACAGTCGAGCAGGGTTTGTGCCACTTGTGAAAAGTGTTCATTAAATTTATTTGCAATTTGTGTATTACTGCAATCGAGTCCAATCAAAGGACAAGAACCTGTTTTATTTTTACCAATAAGTTCATTAATTGTTTTCCACACTGCCTTGGTGTTACCTTTGTGAGAGGAAAATTTAGATTTGTAATAAGTTGATTTCTTTTTGTAGAGCAATCGAGTATAAAGGTTCCTGCATTCATTGAACTGTAATTTGTGCTTGTCATTTATGTTTTATTGTTTATTAATTTCTTATAAAGTTTTTGTTTGACTTTGTTTAGTTTA